TCTTTCTCTTGCTCTACCTGCCTGCCTGCCTGCCTGCCTGCCTGCCTAGTTCCCTGTTCTCTCGTGCATACATACCTTCGCACATGTTCGCTTACGTGCATTCAGCTATGTACGAGTGCATCTATATGTGTTGTTGCTACCGCCGCCGCTTTCTCCGCTTAGATGCTTAGGGAGCCTCTGTGTGGATGTGTGTTGTGTATACATCGTTGTGAAAACAACGTCGCGACTACCGCGCTTTATAATGCACAGCCCCGATATATAGCGAGACGTAGACGTACACGACGTACTATGCACGTTGCTGCTGCTGCCACGACTGCTCGTTGCTCCGTGGAAAGTTAAATTATTCGACTATTTGTTTAGCCACGAAATTTGCTGCAACACAAAATTCCATACTGAAAGATGGTATCATTTCACAAAGGAAAATAAAATAAATCTTTTTCTCTCTTCGAGCAGCACTGATGAATTGCTTATGAGCGTTGGGCTTACTCATTTTTAACACATTTTCTCTGAATTGATTTTTCTTTTTGCTTTTGTATAAAATGGAACTTTTAACGCAAACAGTAATAACTTGAATACATTTTATCTTCTGTTACGTGGTAAAAAAGTTTAGAAGTAATGAAGAGCTTTGCAATCTGATTTTAATGATAGCAATGAATGATCAGAGTAATCAAATTGTATGTGAATATGAAAGAAATTCCTCTTCGATAAGGGTTTTGAAAGTACTCAATTTTTTAAATTTTACTCGACTTTACACCTCTTGTCTCGATACATCTCTAAAATTGCGAAAACAACGTTCAATTTTATGTATTTCATTACCGGTTGATCGATAGTTACTTGGACTACTTTCTTATCAGCAGTGTTATTACGGTTATGCATCCAATCAGCTTTAAATTTCAAGTAGTCATTAGCAGACAATTTTTTCTCGAACATGGATTTTCTTATTCTTAACAAGTTTCATCTCCATTTTTATGCGCATTTGAGAAAGTTTTACTTCGATAATAGATCGTTATAAATAATAATTTTGGGTAATAATCATAAAAATGATGTTACAAGAAAAAAAATATATACTTCGTGCTAGCTCGCAGACGCATAAGGACATGAAAAAAAAAAGGTGAAAAAGTTCGTATATAATATTTTCTTCTTCCCCCTCCTGGGGGGATATCCACGCTATAAACTGATATTTTAGCCGGGACGTTTCCAGGTACAGCTATCTCTATGTGTGAGTGTGTGTGTGGAAACCTGTTGGGATATGTACGCGGGTACCGCTACTATACAGGTATACGTGCAGCGGTGCAGCGCGCCTAGCATTGTGCATATTTTGCAGTTTCTGTTTTTGTAAAATATACCACTCGCGCGACGGCGCAAAGACTTTGGAGTTTTATTTTCGGTGGAGAAGCGTGAGCTTATGCATTATGCGAGCAAGAGCTTCCGTTAAAAAATGCGCGCGGCTACGAGAGAGCGAGAGAGAGAGAGAGAGAAAGAGTGAGCGCGCTGCGGCGCCCTGGCAATAGCAACCGAGGCGGCGGCCACGTTATGTGTGCAGTACACACACTCGCATGATATGTAATATGCCCGTACATACATTTAGCTGCAGCAGCGCGAAAGCCGAGTAGCGTTACGGACCGTTGTGTAGTGGCGCAGTTTCGTATAAATTAAAAGTGTTAATTTGCTTAATAAGACGTTTCAAGCCCCCCCGTACGTACACACTACGTCAACGGACTTGTGTGCCCCGCACAATAAAGAGAAGAGAAAGCGGTGATAAACATCGTCAAAAATGATTTGTTGCTTTTAATTTCATTATCATTTTAGGAATATAATACCAATACGCGTCGGTGCAGTACGCAGCCGACTAGGCACTTTATATGCGTTCGTAAAAAATTACTCATTATGCATTCAAGTATTGTGCATTTTAAATGCATAAAATTCAAGGCGTGTACTTAAAGTTATAAATTTTATAAACCAGTGATTCGTATTATATCGGCGAGGTTGCAAAATCGTAAAGGTTGCGGAATATATAAAGTTAAAAAAACGATTCGCAGGGCAAAGCAGAGCCTTAACTTCTGAGTATGCAAAATATCTGCCGGGAAACAACCCGGAGTCTTATATGCAACGACGGAACGTTTAAAAACGGTTATTTTCATCTTAAAACTAAACAAGCCATGGTGTGCACGGTGGTTATAGACTTTTCTAGACTCACTCTCTGCTTTTTTCCATTTAACGGGCTAAAGAAAGCTCCCGCCCAGATCTCTTTCTGAGCTCACAGATGGTGTTGTGCTTTTGCCAAGATTGAAATACAAATTTACGATAATACGTGGACTTTATTGCCAATATTAACTTTCATCTCATGACCAGGCGGCCACGCACGCACGGGCGCGACCGTCGACCAAAGTATCCTAGCAGCTGATCTCCGACTCTCAACGGTATCGTAAAACGTCTAATTACTCTCTTCCTTGGCGCACATAGCCGTCGTCGTGTGGCAGCAACCCACAATCCTTTCCAAGTATCTCACCCGCACCCGCACGTGTATATATATTCGCCATTATGCATGGCTTCTTACGTCGCGCGCGCGCGCGCACGTCGTTCAAGATTTTTTTCCACCATGCTAATGTCTTTATCTGAATAATATTCAGTGGGGCTTGATCTTTTGTGCAATTCTGCAGCTCATGCACGTGTCTCAAGTGCTTCAGCCTTTTTTTTCACGGTTTAATGAACAAAGATGCTCGATAAGTGCCAAAATGTTGAAGGATCCTCTTTGAAACTTCCAATTGAGAGGGGCAGAAAAAAAGACCATACGTTCGAAGCATCCTTGTTGTTGGGAAATAAAGTGTATCTCTTACCCAACTTACTGTTATAACGCAAGATTCGAGTTATATGATGTGTTTTACCCCTCGTGACTCTTAAAAGTCAGCTAACAAGATCTATGACTTGAGATACGATCGATAAATCTTGTTAGGTCGACGAACCCTGAAATATTTTTTAAGATGAACTCCGCAATAATATTAATTTTTAGAAAATAAAAATGAAATAATTAAACAAAAAATTTAGCCAGTGTGAATTTGAAATGGAATATCTTATTCAAAATTACCATGCAAAGTAAATAACAATTGCACCCTCTCGTCGTTATGCAAATGAATACAAATGACTTTGAATAATAATTGTTTTTTAAAAGTTAAAAAATGCGATTACAAATAACATCGAAAAATTTCTTCTATTTTTGAATTCATTTTTTTTATGATAATCTTTTTCTTTCAAAATTTTAACAACGAGAGACGTAAGAAATTAGTTGTGTAAAAACTGTCCAAAAATTATGATTCTATTATTAATGATTTTATAACAATTACCCCAATACTTTTCGAGTTCATTCTTTTTTCCACGACAACAGAGGATTACAAATTATGAAACTCTATTTTTTGTTAATATCGACACCAATCATGGTCACGGGGAGGATTCGATTTTATATTTTTTCCATTTCACCATAGTCGTGTACCTGATGATGCGGAATAATGAAGACGAGGCCATCGTACTTGTCCGATAGAGAGAACCGTTGCCGAGCAAACAGTTCGTCAAGCCTAACAGCTTCCCTTTACCCTTGCCTCTCCTCTCAATCCATTTGCTCTCCTCAAACATTCATTCTCTCGTTAACGATTGAAGGAAATGTGTATATGCTCTATACATCGTACCCACTTCAGTGTCTCTTAAACAAGAACGCCTCTTAATGTTTGGCTTCTCCTATTCTCTTACTTTAACCCGATTTTATATTTGCAAATCAAAAACGAGAGAGATAGTTTGTCAAATATCGCTCGATCAAACAAACAGATTATCGAATATTTTAATATTACTTGATGAACATCGAGTACAATTTTGCTGAAAAAAAAACTAAACATTTTTCTTATCCACAATTCAATAGAACCTAACGAAGAGCTTTAAATGAATGAGTAAAAACTGTCTGAATGTAAACTACAGTATTATAAATTAATCGTATATGCGGATATACGCGTGTAATACACCATAAATTAAAAGACTAATTTGCTAGTACGCGAGACTTCATAAATTCTGTATTCACACGAATTTTACAGGCATTACGCGTATCTATCTCAAACTTTATCTCTCTATCTCTCAATTCTGCTTTTATTTCATCTCTTCTGGCCGGCATATATAGTATGGAATAGAGCACAGGAGCCGAGTGCGCGGGCAAGAGAGGGCGAGAGAGCGAGAAAGAGAGACTGTGTGTGCGAGTGCGGACGTGCGTTTCACTCGCACTTGCTAACTCTTCTCACACTCGCGGAGGTTGCGCGGCTCGGCAGCGTACTATCTATAACTATATGCTAGGTAATAGAGCAGAACTACTGGCTTCGCTGAGTTAATTCAGTTCGTTCGGGTACATTCGTTGCGCTTTAATCGCCACGCTCGACGCTTGGGCTTGACGAAAATTAAACTGCCCGTCCCAAGTTGGTGTCATAAAAGCGCAGAGTGAGAGAGGGAGAGAGAGAGAGAGAGACCACCGCGTGATATACAGCGTGAGAAAGACAGTCAAACAGACAGACAAAGAAAGAGATACAGAGCTCGAGAGAGAGCGCGAGTAAAAGTGAAATGCAGAGAAAAAGAGCTTCACGACGCCGCATTTATAGATGTATGTTTGTGAATGTGAGTATGCGCGTCTAAGTGAGCGAGAGGTGTCAAATTTATTGCCTCAGCTACTGTTACCCTCAAGTATTAGTAGAAGTGGTGGCGAAATAAAATTATAATGAAATTCATCGCAGATGCTGTGGAACAGTTTGACTCGTATTTTCTGCAAAGCTCAGGACTTTCTGCAACATCATCGACTTGTTGATTAGTACGTTTTAAACTCGACTGATGAAAATATTCATTTCTATACCGCGATACTTGATCCTTGTTACAAAAGCAAAATATATTAAAATTCGCTCATCAAAATTTATATTTACCGACATAATCTGAGTATAATCAGTATGCTAAAAAATATTTCTGATTTATTTTTTTAGTTCCATTGTACAACATCAGCGTCGTGGAGGGTAGAGCTATCGAACTGCCATGCAATATCACTGCACCTGGATACGATACCCTTGACATGGTATTTTGGTTCAAAGATGGCTCTGGACCACCTCTTTATACGTAAGTATAATATTTAAATAATAATTTCTAAATATGAAAGTTACATTATAGGTGAAACACAATTTTTTAGATACTAGCTAGAGAATAAAATTTTCAAAATTGTTAGCTATAAGGCCCGTAGCAAAAAGCTTACGCATTATTTTCAAGTATACTTATAGCGGATCGATATTGAGACAAAAAAGCGCTCTCATCATTACATATTATGAAAGTATAAGAAGCAAAAAATAAGTATGTAGGTCGATTAGGAAGAAAACGATGGTTGCAGTATAGATCACATGGTATAAGGCTCATGACTTGCAGCTACAAAGGGGGCAACGATAGAGAATTCACATGGCACTAAGACAACGTCGAGCACGATGAAACAGGCGATTTCGTTGCTGTCTAGTTACCTGTAACGCGGCACCCATACACTCCGCTACTGCGAAACGCAGACTCGAGCGTGCACCTGCTACACAGTATAAAACAGCTCGGGGCACACAAATTGTCATGCATTATTTCATGATCAAATATTGCGCGAATACCTTTGCATCTCGCAAAAGACACTGGCACGCTCCAGATATATATTTCAATAAAACAATAATGAAAATGTGTAAAAGAATGTTAGGGAAAAAGTTTGAAAGACAGAAACTTTCAGAATTGTAGAATTCAAGTTGTAAAAGGCAAGTTGGAAAAGTATTTCTTTATTTATTTCAAAAGATGGCAAAATGTGTGAGGATTTGTTTCTTTGGAAAAATTTTATTGACTTATAATTGACTTATTTGAAAAGTACTGAAAATAATTCAGAAAAAATTCAAAGCTACTCATTCTTTGCTTACAAGATAAAATTTTTTACGTTTTCATTTACCTTTTCATGAAAAAAAATGAGTAGAATACATCTTTTTTAAAATTACTCAGCTTATAGAATCTAGAAAAAGATTAATTTTTCCTCATGAAATATTCCTCGAGGCAAAAGATGTTCTCAAATCTCATGCGCACATAAAGGAAAATTTTTAAATAGATCAGCCAAAGCTGATACGCTAAAATACTTTTGTTGTTACAAAAATGTCTTCCGTCGGATCAACCAATATTTTTTCCGTTTATGTACGTGACCTCTCGCTGTGTCGGCTGCTATATGCAAATCTCGTGGTTTGAACAATAAAAAAGCGGAAAAAAAGATCGAAGAAGAAAAAACGTTCAGTGACATCTGATTGTTCGTAGTATAGGGTCATATGTACGTACAGATTTATATTGAATCCTCGTTATTTGCTCGTTTTCCATTGGGTCGCAAGAATGGTAAAACAGGAAGAGAAGGAGGTAAAGAGAGAAAAGTAGCAGTAGTCCGCCACGCGAGTGTGACTGTGTGTGTGTACTGTATACACGAGCTGTACAGTGTAGGACAAATCGATGAAAGAATATAAAGTTACGTGAATATATAGGTAGCGAGTCGCTTGGTCAAGCTTGCAGCCACATGAGCAAGTTTCCCTTTACAAACCTCCATGTATATGAGACTGTCACTGTGCATGTGCCGTATACGTATATACAAATCTGCACTCGAATCCTATAGCTAGCACACGTATATGGAAGTTGCACGAGGCTTGCCAAGGGATTTGAAATCGCTGGACCTAGGACAACTTTTAGACTCGCGTAATCTAGCACAGAGCTCGTGGATAGGGATTTCGGCTTCTTCAAGACTATATGTACTCAAGCAGTGTTCTGTACTACTGCTTCAGTCTGCTCCGCGGCTCAGCTCTATCTTTTACTGTGTTGTTGCTCTCTGCTTCTCTCTATTTGTTCGCGTTCGTGTTCTGTATAAGAAAGCATCTGTCTTGTGTAGTGCTTGTGTAACTGATATGGTCTCGTTACACTGATCTCTCCTTGACGTTCCTTAGGCCCCTCACTTTATCGCGATCGATCTGCTGACCTCTCGAGTTGAGTGTAAAATTTTTTTCATATCAAATGAAAGGGCTTGATTATATTTACTTTATATCTTGTTTCGTTATATATCTTACGATAAATTGTTTATTTCTTAAAATCGTGTAGAATTTCTATAAACTTGTAAACTGAAATGTACCAATGCTTTTTATTCTGTAATAATATTTTTTCTAACTTGAAACTTTCACTAAGCTCCAACCTCATTGGTATAGCCAATTTCTTTATTATTTCCGGTTTTTTTTGCTTCAGGTAATGCGGTAAATCCCAATAGTATAAACTGTACAATGAGATTTTACATTTATTTAAAAATCATAGCATGAAATTTTTATCGTTTTTTATACGATTTAATTATTTAAAACACGGTTCCGAAAAGCAATCACATTGATGTTCTTTTAGATACATACACTATTTGTTTTCGAAAATAATGACGCTTTTTACGTTGAAAGCAGTAAAATTCTTAAATTTGTATGTATGGTACGTACAAAAAATGTCTTTAATATTATGTTTTAAATGTGATATTATTGAAAGAATAAACTTTAACATTCATGTAATATTTTCTCAGCCAGCATATATTGAATATTCTACAATATTTAAAATACGCATTACAAAGGCAAATATTACTTTAAAATTGATCGTAGCTGTAGACATCTTGCATAAGGCGATTTTGGCCATTTATCTTAATTATCTTAATATTCAGCAGACAGGGACGAGAGACAGAGATTTCTTTTAGCGCGCACGAAGCAGATGTATTTATCCTCCATTGTTTGTATTAGTGTCTAGATGCTCGTTCTATGTAGCTTTGCAATGTCTAAGTGCTGTGTAGCTTATATTAGTTCGCGTAATCCTTCTCGATCATAATTAATTATCGCAGATACTCAAACTCTCTCAATGATATAATAAAGCAAGAGCTAGTATGATTGTCAAGCAGATCATGTTTTATTCCGGGTCTACGTGTATTAAATGATTGACAGATGGAATTACGTAAGTATGCATTCGTTGTAATATTAAGCATAGGATATTGCTTGCGACAGGTAGTGTCACAGTAAGAACGTTGTGCGTCGACTGTCCAATGGTCTATGCAACCGTGTATATGTAAACTTGATGAGATTGGGATGCAACTTGCGTATTATAGCACGATTTGTAAGCAATAACACTACAATGGCAAAAATTCTCAATATTTTATGAATAGCCTTGCCGAAGAAAATGTTTGTTCTACTAATATTCTGACATTGACTTATATGATTATTTTTGTTTTCCCACTTGCAGATTTACAAATAAAGGTACTCGCCATCTAACGGTGAAGGCTCAAAATGATATCGTATTCAAAGTCATTGAAAATTTTTCCAATATTTTTGAATAAATTTTCATATCCAAATCATTAGAAATGCGCTCTATAGTTTTAACACAATTGTATCAAAAACAAACGCCAAAAATGAGACCAAAAAAGGTAATGATTTCATAATAAATGGTCGAATTAGGACATTATTAACGTCGTGCAGATATTTCTACATGAATTTATTTACTTTAATTAATTAATTATTCAGTAGACTTACTATTTTAAAAATTCATTGGAAAGTAAGAAAAGGATAAAAAAAGTAAAGATGAACTAAGATGTTTAAATTATTTAAAGAGCATAATAAAATGTAAAGAACTCTGAAATAAATCACAACATTTTTTATAAGGCAAGTATAGGAGAATGCCAAATAAAAGCTAACATTGAAAATATACCAAATAAATTTAATACTATTATTAAAAGCGTATTAAGTTCTGAATATTATATATATTTCTGACGCTAACTTTGAAATTAAAGGACAGCGGTAATGAGATCGTGAAAAAAAATTGATTCATCAACAGGGGAAAACGAACTATGCTAGTAATAGCACTCGCATAATTATGTTCGTCGAATTGAATGTGAATCTAAAAAAAATTGAAAAGCTTGGTAAGTTGTTTAGTTGAAATTTCACCGATACAAAACTTGCATTTACGTATCAAAAGAATTGATACGTACGCTCACAAACACATGCCAAAACTGCAGTCAGCTTATATATATCGATGAGAGTCCGATAGTAAAAGGGACCCTCTGTGCTAAACTCCATAAATATTCGCTTGGATAGCGGATGGAGCGCAGTAGTAGTGATTGAAACAAGGCCGACGCTCATACACGCACGTGCGCACACATGCACACGGAAGGTCGAGCAGCGCAGAGAGAGAGAGAGAGAGAGAGAGAGAGAGAGAGAGAGAGAGCACAAAACAGCGACGAGTAGTCTGGATTCGCGCAATGACGAGACGGAGAGAAAGAGACACGAGCTCTGATGTTGTCAAGCTTGTAGGGCACCAATGTGAATACGCTGCGAGCCAAAGAGAACATAGGGTGAGAGCTGCTGTTGCTGCTAGCATCGTGAATAATTGCCAGCACTGGATTTTGTGTCCAGTGCACATATATACTATATTTACAAGTACTGTTCTCTCGTTTGCATCTGATGATACTTTGAATTTGAACAAGCGTATTGGTATTTCATCCGTATGTGAGTGTAGGTGAGTGAACCTTTGTTTTTGACGACGACTACTACTACTGGTACTACTACTACTACTTTATTGATGGATGCTCAATGTCTCTATACAGGTATCAACGCTTCGACGTTTGATTCTGATCCGACAGATGCATTGCCTAAACGTATCACGCCATGCACTCGCACCCTCTTAGGTCATAACTTAGCTAAGAATACCAAGGTTGACAGCACTAATTCATTGTGGAGCTAAGCTTTTCATAACCTACCATTTTATGAATCATTTACTTATTAGTTGATTTAGAAATTTTTTTAGGGAAACTATTTTGAAATTCACTAGATATATATCATTATCAACTAGTGCGTTTAGTGCTGCATCTAGCAAGTAAAGCAGAAACTATATCAGAGTTCTCTTCATATACATCGCAATTGGTTACTAATATTTTCATTAGTTCATACGTAGTCGCAATCTTATTGAATTCCGTAATTGTTATTATAATTAAGAAGTCAACTCTATCAAAGAGGTTTGAAATGAGGTTTTCATCACTGCGTGCGGAAAGTGCTACTTTCGCGCACGGCTGG